AAAGAACTCAATAGGTGTTACCAATACAGTGAATGGTCAACAATTTTATCTCTCAATACAGGAATTTAAAAGTATGTGCTTCAAGATTTGTTTTAAGTTCCTATCCCAAGTATTTAATTCAGCAAAACGTCTTTTTAAAAAATATTTATTATTTTTTAGTTGTAGTTATACACAATACCTTTACTTTATTTATTTATTTTTATATGGTGCTGAGGATCGAACCCAGGGCCTCACATGTGCTGGGCAAGCACTCTACCGCTGAGCTACAACCCCAGCCCCTCAGCAAAATGTCTTTTAAAAACTCCAAAACGGAGTGAGGAATGGTGGCACACACGTGTAATCCCAGTAGCAACTTGGGAGGCTGAGGCAGGATTTCAAGTTCAAGACCAACCTCAGCAACTTAGTGAAAATGAAAACCAAAATGGACTGAGGATATAGCTTGGTGGTAAAATGCCCACGTTCAATCCCCAGCACCAAATAAGTAAATAAATAAATCTGCTACCTTTACTGGTATCAATCATAATGTATGTGTGTATGAGGGAGAGGGGCAGTGGTGGTGGTACAGGCCTGGAATCTCAGCAACTCAGGAGGCTATCAGGGAGATCAGAAGTTTGAAGTCAGCAAGTGCAATTCAGTGAGACCTTGTCTCAAAATAAAAAAATAAAAAGAGTTGGGGACATTAGCTAAGTGGTAGAGTACCTCCTGGGTTCAATTCCTAGAACTTTAAAAGAATGAAAGAAAAAAAGCTGGAGTTACTTTATTAAGCCCTTCCTGGAAACTTAGCACAGTGTAAAGTAAAAACTGCAGTTACTGTATTCTACAGGAAACAAGAAAAATGCTGAGAATGCAGCATTCCTTCAGTTCTTCCATCAACAGGATACCAGCCATTGTTTTTTGTGGGCACCACAGATTTCACATAAAAAATAAACATGTCTTTAATCTTTGCTGACCTCACACTTAAACATATAGATTTGTTTCTTCTCCTTGTTAGCCCTTGAAGGAATCACTGTCTCTAAAGAGAATTTCTGACTGTCACTCTCTCCAAACTGTAAGCAATCCCTTCAGAAAGAAATCACAGCCAGAGACATGGATTCCAAGACTGTTAGCTTTGATAAACTACCAGGAGACTCAAACACCTAAAAAATTTTTCCTACTCATAACCTACTATTGACTGGAAATTTTTAAAACTTTAAATTTTACATTTTTTTTTTTTTTAAACACAAGAACTAGACAAAATGTTAGATCAATTTTGAACACGATCTAGGGAAATACACGCAAGTTTTTATGCCCCAAATCTCTAGAGATGGGTGTGACTTTCCAAGATTATGCCTTTTCTCGTATAAACACCATTCAGGGGACACAAAACCACCAAATGCTACTACCAGAGTTGCAATCAATTATATATTGGTGGTAGGGAGCAGAATGTAGCAAAAAAGGAAAAAAAAAGAAAGAAAGAAAAAAGGCTTACTTCAGTGGTTCCAGATTATAATACTTAGTGCTAATTTAACATAAAGACCTTCAAAGGATGATCTGAATCTCCTGGGGCAGACACCAAGGGCTTGGTTTCCTGGTAGGAGTAACTAAAATATCTGTCCAGTTTCCTCTTAGTTATAGCTTAAAGGTCCTAAAGAAACTTCATTCTATGACACAACTTCCCAAGATGTACTTTTTTTTTTTTTTTTTTTAGAGATCTAGAGAGAGAGAATATGAATATCTTTTTTGTAGATGGACTCAACACAATGCCTTTATTTTTATGTGGTGCTGAGAATCGAACCCGGGTCCCGCCCATGCTAGACGAGAGCTCTATGGCTGAACCACAAATCCCAACACAAGATGTACTTTTTTTTAATTTATTTTTTTTTAGTTGTTGATGGACCTTTATTTTATTTATTTGTATGTGGTGCCAAGAATTGAACCTAGTGCCTCACACATGTTAGGCAAGCACTCTACCACTGAGCCACAACCCCAGACCCCAACTGTACTTTAAGTGACAGCCTAGTGTTACATTAAGTTTATCTCTATCACTGGTGCACACAATCATGCATTTTCTACCTATACTGACAGACTTCCTAGGAAATTAGATAGTGTACTACTGTATCACTCATTTTTCTAGTTGGGTTACTCATTTAAAGCATTATCATCCTTCCAGCTGCTACTAGTTACAAGATCAGAACCATCTTATTTTACAATTGACTTACTGAAATATGTTCTTGCGAACTTAAATGCCACAAATTTCAAGTTCAAATAAATGAAATAATTAACACTGAGCATGAAGAGGTATTGGCTATCTCAAAACCACTTAATATTAACAATTCAGGGAGTCCGAATAAACATTAAAATTATTAGATTATGATTTGTCTTCAATTAACACTGTTAAGCATCTAGTATTTGGCAACTTAAAATTGCAACTTTGTCATTACTACTGATAAAAAAATCTATAGGGAAAAAAATAGGTTTTAGGTTCAAAGGATCCTAGAGTGTTCAAACTGTGGCTCATGTCCTCTAAAAAAATGAGAAAAAACATCTCATTTCAAAATCATGTAGACACCTGCTTCACTCTAAAATTTCGTGTTGTAAAAAGACGACCACCTTGATTTTTTCAGTCAGGGAAAGGGTATGCCCTGGATGTCTGATAGGGAGCAAAATATATCCAAAATTCATGGTACTAAAATTTAATTTAACAATTTAATTCATGGCACTAAAATTTTCCCGAGTCTGTCCCTTTTAATTTTCCTTCCTTCCTATCAATACAGTTTTCTTCCACTGTCTGAAAATTGCTTCCATTCCAATTATTTTGGTTTCTTTAATTCTTAAATTTGTAACATATTCTATCACATCCTCTCTTTCATTTAACTCTGGGATTTACCACTGGATTCAAAATCTAAAAAACGAAGTCTTCAAATCATCTAAATTATCTTTCCATGTTGCTCAATGAAGAAACAATTCCACTCTTAATTGCCATCAGGATTTTTTTTTTTTTTTGTACTTTCTATTATTGCAATCCATTAACTCTACAGTTATTTTTGTTTCTATCATATTGCATTAATACTAAAGGCCACAGAGATATATTACATATGCTTAAAGTGCTATAATATGGATAGTACTAACAGCCACAGATATTTCTATCATATCATATACCCAGCAACTAATTCCTCTCCCTCACACAGATCCAAAATACCCAATAACAAGGATTCAACCAAGAACTTACACAGAAAGGCCTGGGATGTAGTTAAGTGATAGAGCACTTGTCTAGCATAAACCAGGCCCTGAATTCAGTCTCAACACCAAAAGCAAAAACAAACAAAAATATAGCACAGAAATAATCACAGTAGCACTATTCACAAAAGCTAAAAAGCAGAAACAACTCAAATATCCATCAACAGATGAAAGGAAAGAAAAAAGAAAATGTGATCTATCCATTCAATGGAGTATTATTAAGCTAAAGGAACAACATATCAAGATGTGCTGTACACTGGATCAACCTCAATTATGCTTAGTGAAAAAAGTTAGAAACAAAAAGTCAAACGTTGTATAATTCCATTTATGTAAAATATTCAGAATTTGTACATCAGTTAAGGATACAGAAGGATGAAAAGACTGCCAAAGGGTAAGGTGTTTCCTTTCCAGACTATGAAAATGCTCTGGAACTAGGTAAAGGTGATAGTGGTACATTGTAAATGTACTAAATAATACTAAATTGTTGTTCACTTTAAAGTGGGAGTGAATTTTGCTGAATATAGTGGCACAGGCCTATAATCCCAGCAATTTGGAGGCAGAAGCTGGAGGATCAAGACCTTGTCTCAAAATAAATATTACAAAGGGCTGGGAATGTGACTCATTGATAAAGTACCCTTGGGTTCAAGCCCAATATCAATAAATAAATAAGGTTAACTTTTTTTTTAATGAATTTTATCTCAAATAAAAAGACTTTTGGGGTTCTAAGTCAGAGGTAGAGTTATTGCTTAGCATGGGGGAGGCCCTGGGTTTGACCGCCAGCATTAAAAAAGAGGGGAAAAGAGGGGCTTTTGGATCCTTTAAACTACAAATGGTTAGGGTAATCACTAAGTCTATTTCATGATAAGCTAATTTATAATTCAAGTAATCAGCTGACTTGGTTTATATAAACAATTAAAATTACAAAATTAATAACCACTTTCTTGTTTCAGAAACCATTTTATTCAAACTCCTTGCTGTGGGATTTGATGAATCCCCCCAAAATTCATATGCTAATAGTATTTGGAGGTCTTCAAAAGGCAACAATAATTAAATGAGTTCATGAGGGTAGGGTCCCCATGATGGCATTAGTGGCTTTATAAGAGAGAGAGACCACAATTAGCTCAATTGTTCTATTTTGCCATGTGATGCCCTATACCATGATATGATGCATCTAGAAGATCCTTACCAGATACAGAGTAAATGACTACATGGTCTTGTAACTTTCCAGCCTCCACAAACAGAAGCCAAATAACTTCTAGTCTTTATTACCCAGTCTCAAATATTTAGTTACAGCAAGAGAAAATGAATAAAGACTCTCTACATATGCATTTTTTATATTAGTGTCTTCATTAGTAGTAGAATGTCACCTCCATTCCAAAGTGCTTTTTAAAAAACTCATTTTGGTGTAATCATGGGAATTTTATAATAAGCATCAAATTTGCAATTAGGACAGCGTTTTTCCCACTCATCTTTTGATATAAACTATGATTTCCAGAAATATACCCTAAAAGATGCTTTTCAAGAAATATGTAAGATGTTTGTGACATCCAACAGTTGCAAATGTGAGACCATATGCAGAGGAAGAAATTATTAGATCTGTTTAGTTCATAAGAATGGATGATTATGGGCTGGGGTTGTGGCTCAGTGGTAGAGTGCTTGCCTTGTACATGTGAGACCCTGGGTTTGATCCTCAGCACCACATTAAAAAAAAATAATAATAACCAAAATAAAAAGATTACAGGCCTGTAATCCCAGAAATTTGGAGGCAGAAGTATAACTAAAAAATACTAAAAAAAAAAAAAAAGAATGGACGATTGGGTGTTCATGCTGTGTGTGAGATGTGCCTCCCTCTAAACCTTGTTACAATGTCAGTACATTACACAGGTGATGTGAAAAAATAAAGACAGTTCAATATGGCTAAATCTAGAATAATACAGAGTGCAGGAAGACATATGCAAAGTCAGCTGTTTGCTAAGCTAAGCATACATGAACTGTCTTTGGCTTTACTCTACTTCCGTGGTTTCCTCAGATGAGCAGCTGATCAGAAATAAATTAAAACAACTCTTAACCAGCTCCTATTTTTTCATTTGTTATGATTCCCAGTTTCAAGAGACAACTGTCACCAAAAACTGCAATTACCTGGGACCCCCAGTGTACTCCAGGAATGTTCTAGATGCAGAAAATGAGAAAGAGGAAAGAATCTGGTGTAACTCCAAGAATATGACTTCAACAACTGGATAGACTTTAATTTTGGTTTTTCCTTTAGCATGGAATCTATGTTCATGGAGCGGATAAAAGAAGACTCCCCAAGGGCTGGGGTTGTGGCTCAGTGGTAGAGTGCTCACCTAGCATGCTTGAGGCACTGTGTTCAATCCTCAGCACCACATAAATGTAGAATAAAGATATTGTGTCCAATTAAAACTAAAAGATAAATATTAAAAAAAAAAGACTCCCTTAAGATGGAGGGGATGAACCAATACTTAAGTTTCTGTATGAACTAAGTATTATGCTATAAACACAAACCTATACTAATAACAGAACTACCAAGAAGTACTATTTTAATAAATGAAAAAGTTAAAACAAGCTAAAAACTTGACATAATCAAATAAAGTCCAATTTAAACACCTGACACATTTTCCAGAATTGCACACTGCACAGATTTTTTAAATGTGATGAAATGTGGTTTTAATGAACTTGCTTCCTATTCTTTCAGAAACCATCTTTAAAATCTTCTTTATTCACACTTTAAAGACAAGCCTTTATTTACCTAATTATTCAGAAGAGGAAGTACTAATATTATTGGAAGTCTGCCTCCAAGCACAACCATCCAACTTTGCAACCATTTCCCCCTCTAGCACCATGGTACTCAAACTGGGCAAGCATATTCTACTTTCACTGTCTTCCACAGAGTTCTATTCCAAGTTTTACATTATTAGTATAAACACAAAAACATGAATTGTAAAAGAGAAAGCAAATTTCCTACTTTCCCAAGTGTCTTCAAATGAAACACGTTGATTCTTCTCATTAAAGTCTGTAAAAAAGTTCTAGAAGTTCAGCCTTATGAGAGTAATATAGATAATCCTGGTTACAAATTAACCTGATCTTAATCATTCTGCACAATTTTTCCCTGGGAACTTGGATAAGACCCTTTAAAGATACTGTCTATATAATTGTTCAAGGCATACAACAAAGTCAATTGTTGATTCACTGTCCCCTAGTTTTCTCATAATATAAAAAATACTGCCCTAAAAACAAACTACTAATAGCATATGTATATCAAGGAATATTATGGAATAGATACGAACAATTATGGTATATTTTGCACTTCAAACTACACAGATCATTCCAAAAAAGGCATATATGCCAAATTAAAAGAACAATTAAAGCCTAACACCCACTAACTTTTAAGGTACTTGTTATGAACTTTAGATTCCCCATTATAAAATAAGGTGAACCATACCTACCCAAAAGGGGTTCTCTTGCTAATTAAATGGAAAATGAACATAAAATGCTTATGTTTTATTTTTAGCAGCACGGTAGGTACTCAAAAAGATATAATGGTAAATGTACTCTGATTTTAAAGATTTCAGGATAATTAAGATTTGGTGGTCATTCCCTTGAAAGTAGGATAAAATATCTTAAATCATGTCTACCACAACATAAGAGAGTCACAAAATCCACATCTGACAGATGGGTTTTGAATAATGCATTCAGATTCAAGTTTCCCGCCATCCCAAAGCTACGATGGGTTGGGGGATAGTGGATGACATCTAGACCTATGCACTCTGCACTGGCTCATGAGACAAGTTGATCTTATGTAGTTTTAGCCCAGTATATATATGAATTTAGAAAAACAGCCTCATTCTAGCATATAGGGCTAAAACAAAGTTATGAATTTATTTCCCATCTAAGTGAGAATATTCAATTAAAACTCTACCACCTTAAAAGAACATTTACATAACTATACTAATTAAAAATGTACCAAAGGGCCAGGTACAGTGGCACATGCCTGTAATCCCAGCAACTCAGAAAGGTAAGGCAGGAGGATCACAAGTTCAAGGCTAGCCCCTGCAAATTAGTAAGATCCAATCTCAAAATATAGTAAAATAAAATAGGGGCTAGTAATGTAGCTCAGTAGTAAACTGCCTCTGGGTTCAATTCCCAGCACCCAAACAAAATAAAGTACCAAAGGCACACAATGAAAGCTCATGGAATATAATACAAAACTAAAATTTTGTTTGGGGGAGTATAATTTCAGAGTGTCATCAATTTATTTAAACATTAATATTTGTATTTAAATCTTGTATGATATCAAATGTTCAAATACATAAAGATCCACAATCAGACATCAATGCAAGCATGAAGTAAGGTGCAAACAGATTCTGATTTACCACTTTAACCCTAGAGTCTAATCCAGGTCCACAAACAAAATACTGTCAACTGATTGAGATGCTTAAATGAAATGTATTGGGCAGAAGTTATACAGCTAAAAATTAATGTTCCTAAAGTACTACACCAAGTACTTTCACATTTATGATCTCATATCCTCATGTTAACTTTGTGAGGTAACATGCCTATTTTACAGAGAAAAAGAAACAAAAAGTCCTAATCTGTGTTATCTCATATGTAGTCACAAGATACTGAGCACCTGAAATGCAGCTACTATGAATGATTTTAAGTTAATTAAAATCAAATAATTAACAGAAATTGATTAATTTGTTGGAAAACTTAAATGTTTGGAATAACCTAGGCATATAAATCTGCTTTTTCAACTGTAAATTTAATGAGCTCTAAACACAAACTATTTCAAATAAAAACAGGGTTTGAATTGAGATGTTCTCTAAGTGTAATAAAATCAGATTTTGGAATTTAGTATAAAGAAATGTAAAACAGGGCTGGGATTGTGGCTCAGCGGTAGAGTGCTCGCCTCACATATGCAGGACCCTGGATTCGATCCTCAGCACCACATAAAATAAATAAATAAGTGAAGTAAAGATGATGTGTCCAACTACAACTAAAAAAATAAATATTAAAAAAAAAAGAAATGTAAAACAGCCCTGGTACAGTGGTGCAAGCCTGCAATCCCACCTGGGGTGGTGTATGTGTGTAAAGATCACAAGTTCCAAGCCAGCCTCAGCAATTTAGCAAGGTCCTAAGCAACTTGGTGAAACCCTGTCTCAAAATACAAAAATCAAAAGGACTCAGGATGTGGCTCACACCTGGGATCAATCCTTGGTACCAAAAGAAAAAAAAAAAAATGTAAAACAGCCCATTAGTAAATTTTATACTGATTACATATTGAAATGATATTTTGGTAAAATGAATTAAATAAAATATTAATCTCACCTGCATTTTACTTTTTAATTTGACCACTAGAATATTTAAAATGACAAATGAGGCTCTCGTTATTTTTCTATTAGCACTGGCCTCAACAACCCCCTGGCCTGTCCTGTCCACTGTATCACATCATTTACCACATTTTAAAAAGCAGAAAGAATCCTGTCTCTAGGCCAAAGCCCTAAAGAAAAACAGCATACTAGGATACAGTCTCTTAAAAACAATCATTTCATTTCTTTGAAGTATTTTGTATTAGAAGTCTCATGTACAAATCCCATTCTGATATCATGGTCCCTGGACATTACTTGGAGTCTCACTTTCTTCAATTGTTAAGAAAGGTCTCTGGACCCAGTGTGGTGGCGCAAACCTGTAATCCCAGTGGCTTGGGAGGCTGAGGCAGGAAGATTGAAAGTTCAAAGCCAGCCTCAGCAACTTAGGGAGGCATTTTAACAACTCCATGAGACCCTGTCTCTAAATAAAATATTTAAAAAGGGGTGGGGATGTAGCTTGGTGGTTAAATGTCCCTGAGTTCAATCCCCAGTTAAAAAACAACAACAAAAAAAAGTTCAACTTTATTGTAATAAAAGAAAAAAGAAAGGTGTCTGGGGGGAACTGATTGAAGATCTGAAAGTACCCAGACATCCAGCAGGCTACTGCTCTGGGCTGGGGCTGTAACTCAGTGGTACAGTGCTTGCCTAGCATGTATGGGGCCTTAGGTTCAATCCTCAGCATCATATAAAAATAAATAAAAGTATTGTGAAGGGAAAAAAAAAAAAAAGGACAATGAAGAAGTCTATGACTCTCCCATTCACTAGAAATCATTTATTATTACCACTTCCCAAAAGAGACAGAATTTGACTAATACTTGGATGATGAATGTTTTAATTTTAGCTAAAAAAATGTTCTACGTATATACACATGGGTAGCCAGTTCTACAAAACACATCATATGGCCTACATCAATTGTGCAATTCAATGTTGGCTGTCAATACACACATGACTATTAAAATTTAAATGAAAAAATAAAGGCAAAAATTGAGTTTCTCAGTAACACTAGACACATTTCAAGTGCACAATATCCCTACGTAACTAATAGACATTTGCATCACTTAAAGAAAGTTCTACTGGACAATAATGATCAGAAGTTTCAAAGAACCTCATCATTAACACAGATAAAAATACATCTGTTACATCTAATTCAAGTAGGTATTGTATACTGTTGAACATAAGAATTTATAAATAATTTTACAAAGAAGCTGAGGACTAAATATAAATGGAAGCTTTGAAAACCAAGATATAAATTCCAACTATGGTCAGAAATAATTATTCCAAGAGCAAAGTATCAAGCTTCCTAAAATCAAATTCACTACACACTAAAGTGGAAAAAGACTGTGGTCCTATAGCACACACAGTTCCTGAATTATATCCTAATCAGAGTGAAAGTACTTTCACTAAAATCAGCCATACCCCGTTAAGCTGACCATTACAAAAATTATGAAAAATGTATCTTAAGGTTGGAAGCTATTCCCAGGGTGGACTGCAGCATAATTCCAG